CTCTGCTTCCCATCTTCCTTAATCCCCGGTCGTCTCGCGGAATCCTCATCAGCGAGTATCGGCGTTACACGCTGTCAATGAGAGTCGAGAATGATTTCCATCGATCCCGTCCCAAAGTTACGGCAGATAACTTCGGTTGGATACGCGCGAACACTTTCGCGACCCAGCGATGAGATGTATCTATCGGCGTTAACGGCAAAGTGTTTGTCAGTCGCTGGCCCGCGACCGATAGATAGATCGGTCATCGCCATTGAGACGCGTCTCACTGGAACCCGAACGGATGTTAGCCCCCGGCCTGCTTGGCAGAGCATGCCTAGGACATTCTCCCTAATACCCGCTTCTTCGGTGACCTCAAGAAAGCTGACCATCCAAATTCAGGTGTTCCGGTTTTCTCAGATGGGCGAGTCGTCGCCTGGTAGCCCTTCGTCGGCTTTCGCCTTGCCATCCTCAGGACTGAAGACCGCGGCGTAAGTGTTCGAACACCTGCACCACGTATTCGAGGCCGTTCATGTAATCCCGGAAGATTAACCAGTCACGTAGGTTTCGAAACGTCGCGGACGATGCCATGGTCCGGAACTCGGGCTTCATGATTTCGCGGGTAACGTCCGGCCGCGACGATAGTTGACGCTCCACTAGTGCCACTTGCAACTCGCAGAGAACCTGGAATGCAGAAATGATTACGTTATATGTTGATCCAATATTAATAATGTTTTTTCTAGATTGCAACTGCTAGGAGGTCTTTCTATTGTAACGATTTTAAGAAAACTGTTGAGAATGATAAGGGATTTAGACAAATTCTAAAGACTTGATATTCGGAAAAAGAGATGTTTTAGACTGCTGTTGGTATCTTTATATATGAAGGAAAAGAAAGAAGCTTCAAAATACAGATATTTAAGAACCGCGTCTAGCAGTGGATCGTGAAAAATACATGGATAAGTATGTAAAGATATATTTGGAAAGTATGTAAAGGAATTGAGTTAATTGTAAACTCGAGCTATTATAATATTGTGAAATGTAAAACACGTAAATAGATGATGATTTTGAAAATTGAGAGGAAATCACGAAGAATTCACGAGGAAAATTAAGTCCAATGCTTGATTTTACTGTTCCAGTAGGGAAGCATCTTAAACCACAAGTTTGCAAAGAAGATAATATTTAATTGTTCAAAAAAAAGAAAATATTGATGCTTCTTACTTTCCCATTCGAATATAAATTGTGACAAGTTTAAACAGAAGTCTTGAAATTTGATAAAATAAACAATGCTTTTTATAAATACATAAAATATACGATTTTCCACAGTATCGAATCAGTATAAAAATAATAGTACTGTCAAACTAAGGAAATAGAATAGACACGGATTCAACAAAGCAGCAGTCGGTCTCGATAGAACCATAAATTTTTTTGCGTTGTAGGTAGGACGTTTAGCCGCGTAAAACACAACTTTACGTAAAAGTCGTAAAATTGGTGGCTCTTTTTACTGCGTTTACGACTATAGAAGGCAATAATTCAGGCTAATTGTGCTTAGTACCATTGTGAAAGGTGTTCTGTATCTTTTTGAAAGAAATCTGCGGGATAAATTCTACAATTGCAGATATGTACTCACCGTTCGTAGTTTATATTCCGTGTCCTTAAATTGTTCGCGAAACTCGAGTTGTAGATCCTCTTGATCCCAAACAATTTGTTCCAGACCAACTGCATATTTCTGCATATATTCGTACGCATTGATAAGAGCCGTGTCAAGCTGTGAACGAAGTTAATTACTTTTAATAAAACGGCCATAATACGAATAATAATAAACTTAAACAGACTATACAGAACTGTATCGAATCGTAATAGAATTTAATCTCTTTGATATCTACGATTCACACAATGGAAAATGCATAAAACTGAAAAGTGTTTGTACTCACTTCTAGATGGTCAAGAAACCTTTGATCCAGTTGCTCTCCGAGTTGCTTTGGAATCTGCTGTTCGCCCGGAAGCCAATCGTAGTGATGATCTTTAAACGTGGAATGCAGATCAGCGAAGTCAATGTTGAAGATCTGTTTTGCCTGTAAAATCAACAAAGATTGCGAGTGTAATTGCAGGCGCGCTTAATCCAGCGAGAAGTAAAGTATTCGAGATATCAAAGGAGAATACGTCGTCGTCGTCATTTTTCCGCTTCAAAAACCAAAAAGGCGATCCATAACTATCAGAAAAGTTAGAAGAGTCCGAGAGCGTTGCGTTATTCCAACAAACGCTCGCGCAACAAAATAACACAGAATAATTGTTTGCACGCGTGTTACTAAGAAAAGTATACCCTAGCGTGCGTTATCGTTGTTATCGCCGTACAAATGAACACAACGTAATGCCTTCGCAGTTTAATTGTATGAAACTTAATAAGTGGTTTCCCGACGAGAGGCCACTGTTACATACACACAACCGACAATTTGCTGAAACCGATGCCCGGCTGGCAAGAAGACGTCGAAAAACCGGGTTTATGGGAATGAATTCGTTTTAACGAAGTTAACTGTTAAGTTACATGCAAATAACCTATATTCGCACATCAAGGGTACCAATGATAGGCCATGAACGAGTGAAATGTCTTTATTTCGAGACCCGCCGGAAAAAAGGCCCTCGCATAATATTCGCGGCCGTTCATACATATGCAAAGATTTACACACCTCTTTTATTAGGGGAGCAATATGGTTCAATAACAGGTTACCGGGGTTTAGTCACTGATTAAATCGGGAGCAGCGCCTCGTATGAGATCGGGCTTTCGATATCCCTTATTCCTGGTATGATGGGAACGTGGACGAACGCGCGCTGACGGATGAGTAAGCCTCGGATTGAGTATCGCGAATCGAAACGCGAACCAGCACGCGCCTGCCTTGAGCAACGGTTGCTGACTTTTCGGGAATACCGAGCTGGCTCAACTTACGAAAGCTTGTCGGTTACCTAAAAACCACTTCAACATCGGAGCGTCAGGTCAAATGTGCTAATCGTGGTATTCGTATGACACTACCAACGCTTCGAGCCGCCGTGAATCATCAACAACGCGGTGCCCGCGATCGAACAGAAGGGGGAAGCCCTCACTCCGAGTGACAACTTGAAAATGGTCCATTAGTATACGTTTCGTGAAACTGTAAGCACTGTGTGCACGTGATACCGAAAGATCTAAAACGATCGCAAGGTCAGCGTCATCGTTAAAACGCAACTGACTCGCGTTCTTCGAGTTTGTCAACTCTTCAAAATTGTATTGTATTGTCTATAAGTATTTTGGATTCTAATGAACGAGATGATTCTTACTGACTTTCGAATGATAAATGTGAATATGGAAACTGTTTTCCCTCGGTGCTGTTGGGTCTTTAGAGATTTCATTTTGAAAAGAAAATTGGCCTTGGATATTTGTTATATTTACATTATGGAAACTATGTAAATGTATTATTATATAAAGTATAAATCTGTGACTTGTATTTTCAGTTTTCAGATTTATTACGAATATTATCTAATATTACCAAATTTCTATTATGGTCATATGCAAAATTAATACAACAGGTAGTAATTATTACAAGTACGGTTGATTTTTTAAATGGTACGGTTTGAATCAATATTTAGTAATTTCATTCCTTATTTCATAAGGTTGTGTTCTTTTCTTAAAAAAGTAGATTTTTGCTTTAAAACTTATATTCTTTGTAATAATACATTTTATTTTGTCTTATCCTATGAAAATAATGTCAAATGAAGAGATGTTTTTTCTTTTTAATCGTTACTTTTAAGAAAATTACATTTACATTTAGGAAATAGTAATTCTTATGATTCTTTTCATGGCACTTATCAATACTAAAACTGATTGGTTTATAATATTTTATAAGAATTAATTACAGAATATTTTCATTGAAATTTTACGCAAGTTTTACTATGTGTGCATAAATAAATAAATCTATTTAACAACTATTCTTAAAACTGACAAATAAAAATAATTATAAATTAGACTTTTAAAATTTATTAAATTATGAAAGTTTATCTATATTAGTCATTTATTGTTAAATGTAAGCAATGTTGAATAGCTTCATGTAGAAATTGAACTTTAAATATCTTCCATTCGAAATCATTCTAGGCAAAATTGCAGAAAATTTCACGTCATCTACAGTTTGTATACGTCATTTTACAGAGCATGTTCTATTCCAAATGATTTTTCGGAAACTATAACGTTATTATTTTAGTAATACTATATTACTAAAACTGCAAACATTTTCGACCCGATAAATTTCACGATGATTATACTGTGACGTAAAAGTTATTTGATACTTGAAACAGAATACCACTATCATCACCCGATTGCTAACTGTCGTGGCTATGACTTTTTGCATGAAAATTCTATTTTCACAAATAGTTTCACAAATTCAAACAAACAGAATTCTAAATATTTGACTAAATTATACAGTTATATCGAGTTCTTCAGATATTGCACCTTATCAAGCGTTGTTTTAAATTCCTGTCAATCGATCTGCCCCGCGGATGTACATATTAAGCTCATATATCATCAAAGTGTCTTCGAGCTTACGTTTTGGACCAGCTGGCTCACACGAAAGATAACGCGATTATCCAAACTCTTATCTGGCCCAGGAATGGAAATAATTATCGTGCGATAGTACTCTGGTGACCTGCAAACTGCGATAACACCTTTGGCAAGCAAATAACATTCCTTAGAGCTACTACGTTGCCGGCAGGAGTAGCCAGATAAATTGTTCGTTCTCAAAACACTGTCTAACATTTAGGACACAAGTGTAAGCTGCACCTATTCCAGAATATGATCTCGAAAACTTACACGAAAAATGCAGAAATGATCTTCAATAAGCATACTAACAAATAAAAAAGTGAGAAATCTTTCGCTAGGATGTGCCTTTGATCCTTATCCGTGCCGAAAGGATTGCGAAATCTCACAGCAGGATACAGGCCTCTTTCAAAACGGACACTTTGTACCGGGAACGTTAAATACGATGATTAAACCCGAGCAGTCGAGGTTGCATCACAGACTGTTATTATCACCGACATAGATAATATTGGAAGGACTTCATGAGGAGAAACCGAATGGGCAATTAAACTAGTTTATGGTTATTTGACGCGAACGGTTTCTTAATAAACATGTTAAAATGGATCCCCACGAATTCATTTCAGGATTAACCGATCACGGCACCGTCCGTCCCGTTTCCTTCCGAGTTCGAGTGCCCGAAAGAACTACACACGAATTCCATCGACAACTTTTATAGCTTGTTTCGATACCGATGGCCATTCGTTATCCACGACTCCTGGACACCGATACAAAATACCGTCGGCCCGTCGGACAAGGAATGCGCACGTGTCTTTTTAAAGGTCCTGTTTGATCAATTTTCGAAGCGGACAGGTCGCGAATATCTGCAGACCGTCGTATATTGCCCAGCTGTTTCGAGACAATCACGAAAAGATTTCAGCGAGAGAACGGATAGGAACGGGGGAAGAAAAAGCGAAGAATGAAAGGAATTGTCGCTAACAACCACTGGCGGCGAACAAATCTGAGACGCGGGTCTTTTGTGCCTCGTAAAAGTCTCCTCGGCCACACCGGAGCACGAATAATCGTAAAACCAGGCTGAAAACTGACAGGAAGTAGGCTGGCAAGAGTAGGTATGGTCTCTGCGGTACACTCGAGGACCCGTCAAAATCAATTAGTCTCTCAGTCTTTCTTCTAGCGCGGCTTCACCGCTCCACCGCTTATTAGAAGTTATAAAATTTCGGTGCGACGGCCACGAACCGATTCAATGGCTTGTTGCTCGCGAGTCTACGCTGCCGTGTTCAACGAGACACAAAAGAAACATCTCAGAAAAATGGAAACGTTTCGGCGTTTGATACACCTTTCTGGAAACTGATTCTTCTATCGCGTTTGCTTTTCGACGGCCGAAAAGTGATATTGCTTTGATGTTCGCTAAAACCTTTATCTATTAACACTAACCGTACCGGCATCTCGTACATACTTGTTCTTATTGCAATCAGTTATATAACCGGCTTCAAAAGAAAAATAAAACAGTTAGACGATACATTTTTCTTAGTGAAAATAGGAACAAAAGGAAAGACAACAATTGAAAAACTGTTTAATTGGATAATATTAAAATTGATATAAAGTTAAATGAATAAAAGAAAACACATGAGGTCAATGTGTTGTCGTGATACGTAGAATGTAATAAGTAGGATGCGGCTGTTTATGTACACTTTTGTAAAAGATGAATAAAGTAACGAGGTCTAAGTAGAAATTTGGGTTGATCAAATGGTTTTAAAACAGTGTTACGTATTTTCTATACTTTGTATAATGCATGAGGTGTAATTCTAATATGTGTTTACATTAAAAGACGAGAGTTTTCATAATAACTTAGTTATAATATGTGTTTACAACTCGTATCGTAAAAACTAATACATTTTGTATTTCGTACATTTTAATATCCTAAAAATTTCAATTACTTGATACTTAGCGAGCCTAAAATTATTTGAGAAGAAGCTCAATAATTACTATATCTCCCAGAAAACTGGCGAAATAACTATACAACGTATTCACATTTTAAACTACAACATGACTCATGAATTTAGAAACCGAATAATTAATTATCAAGGATATATCTTGATAGTTTCAAATGTCACAAACAACACTTCTAAAGCAACGGAAAATTTAGAAAGTTTAAATAATCGAGCGAGGAATATCTAATTAAAAGTATTCACCACGATTAAAAATGACAATCGCAAACTCGTTTTATTCTCCGCCGATATAATGTCGAAGAAAGTGAGAATAATTAAATCTAAAGAGCGACTGCTGCAAGGTATAATCAGCCGTGATTAATCGTATTCGATAAATATGTCAGCCTTGAATGAAACCGTACAGACCGACATCCAGCCAGTGGAGTAGCAGAAAATACATGTCGTAGTGCGTATTGAATGTATCGAGGCAAGTAAATGCACTGGCGGGTTGTGTATCCGGTCTGCGTTTTAGTATGCAGGCGGAGTACCGGGGTATAGATGCCCCATCCTTGGCGGGGAGGGGCAGCTTCCGATTCTGATTTATTGGAATCCTCCGCTTCCGATATTTTATCCGATTCCTTCACGTACCGATGCGCGTATACGCGACTCGTAGACGTCGAACTTCCTATCCACGAAGAATAGTATATCGACTGTAATCACATGTGCACACTGATCCATTGACTCTTGCCGCTTATTGTCTTGACGCGACTGACACACTACTTGGCAACACCTAAGAAACATAATTTCTCTCGTGATAATCATAAAATCACGATCTTGGTAATACCAAATTCCTATACAAGACTTTGAAACTCGACAATGATTGTGCAGTAAAATGCGTTAATGATAAAATACTATTGAGACATCTTAACGATATTTTCGAGTATCCATTATCTATGTTACAAATGAATAATTATTTTAACAGTAAAACTACTGGACGGGTCAGATTGACCCACTTCACAGAATTTTTATTTTGCAATATTTTGCAAGTATTTAAATTATGAAGACGTTTATGCGAAAGATTTTCAATTAAATTCGTGCATTTGTATAGATACGAGACTAGGACACCCTTCGAATCTCAAGAAACGTATTGTTCTAATTTTAATAAAACACTGAAAATAAGTCACTCTAATTGCTCGGTAGTTGTAGTGGTAAACGATTTAATAATATGGAATCGATTGGCCAAACTATTTGTAGTGAAGGTGTATTGACTGCAGCGTATAACACGATACAGATTATTATTAAACGTGCCTCCACTGTGTACTACCAATTCCTATCGTAACCAGTCAAATAATTCGTTGCAAAACAAAAGTAAACAAGTTAGAGAATAAATTTTTCTCAGTGGAAGCAGAACCGAAAGAGAAGGCGAAAGTTGAAAAACTGAGTAATTGAATAATATAGGATTTAATGTAAAGTTAAATAAACGAAAGAAAACTCAGGCTTTTAAATTATATTTTAAAACCGGTCATTTGACTGGTCGCGGTACGTTAAAGAGCGTAAGCATTATTACATTACGAACAAGGAATTCGCGGATCGAAATTTTATCATGAGGCGCGCCACCTGCACGTGGGGATGCGATCGGTCTCACGAAACTTCGTTGCTTCTCCGTACCCTCGGTCTAATCTACTTTTTCTCCGCAGAGTGTCCGCGACGCTAAAACGATAACGAGACCTAGCAGGTGACGTCATTGGACTACCAGACAGTGCGTCGCCTGGAGTCGGTCTCACAGCAGGGACGTCCTTAGAACCCCCTGCTGAAGTCTTAGAGTCTGGGAAAGGTGAATGTCGAGCGAAGTATAGCGATTCCACATCGGGGAACAGTTTCGTTTCGCCGTCTTCTCTGCAATGTTCGTTTTCCCAAGGAGGGAAAGAAAAAGAAAGAAGGAGAAAGGGGGAGAGAGCCAAACGATATCAGATTATGCGCTGACTTAGAAAACATCGGTATCGAGTATCGTCGAGCGATGATGTAACGGCGACCGTTTCCACGGTGACTTCGCCGGGGCCACAGGGCGGAACGAGCCCTATTCGTAAAGAGACACAAACGCCTTTTGCGGTCGCGCGCGATGAATTCTAATTCTGCCATGAATATACTCGTTCCGTGCGGCCGGTATAATTATTCGCGATACACGTTCGAAATGCGAATCTCCGTGATTCTCGAGGGCTTATTGTTATTGGAAGAACAAATTTAGTAATTTTATATTTCAAATCAAAGCTATTGATTAAATAATTTCAAAAATTAGTTATCGCATTTCGTATTAGTTTTATTATCAACGGGTACAAAAGTTTCAATTTTATACAGTAGGAGATTGATTTACCGAGTCCCTATTTTCCGTGATCTAGTTTGCCCAAAGGTTTGGTTAAATTGAAACTCAATAATTCAGATTCTTAGATAATCACTTAAAATATCATTTCAATCTTAACTTCGAATTTTCTGAAGATGTTTTGAAAAATGTCTTCTCCAGTATCTGTTTGATTTGACTGTTAGTTATTCTATTGAATTGAACAATCGGGGTTCCACGGATTCTTAACAGATTTTCATGAAATGGTACTGGAAGTGGATCCTGAAATTTCGGGACTAATTTTTGTTTATGCAATACATTTGTTAATTTTATGGTTTCATTGTGATTGATAATTGTACACAGTGAAACTCAAATGTCTATAACCGGTTGTGACCTTTCGAAACGATCCAGTTCTATTACATTGCATGCACTTACACGTCATCAATTACCAACGCTGATTTATTCAAGAATGTTAAAATATTCATGGTGTGCAACTTAATTAACTTCTGCACGAGAAACATTCTTCAATGTAAATCAAGTTGCTTTTCCAGACAAAAAGAAAAATTGCAGAGTCAATGTAACAGACAAGCATTGATTAAGTATCCACGGAACCTGATTTATTTGCGGTTTTACTGCATGTGTAACAATTATCATTTAATACCACGGACGCCTCAAGTCATAATTAAATTTTGAAATAAAAAAGAAGCATTTCAGTATACAGTAATGCAGTTCAAGATCTTCTAGCTTTACCAATCACGAAACAATCCCATTTTTACTAATGCAACTCTTCGTTTAGTTTAAATTATATTTATGTGACATTTCAAGAAATACATCTTGAATTGTTTATATTTTCAAACCCATCGAACAACTACATTTAATATTTCATACATATCACTAGGAAATCTATTAAAATCGAAGGATGATTACGTTTCTTTCCTGTACACAAATCACGACTAACAAACTGAACATTTTTCATGAATGCTCGTTACAGGCATCTTTCAATAACAATTTGACGAACAGATAAGCACGAAAATAGATCAGCACGATTCAGATCCCTTTTTTAAACTGAAATTGTAATTCAACCTATACGCTGCAACGACGATCCCAAATCACGATGTATGTAACAGAGAAACAGGAAACGCGTGGAGCGGCTGTCAAGGATGAGTCACGTGAGTCCAAGAATTTGGCGGGCATGTAAGGGCGTTCAGTTATAGACCCGAAATCATGTCGACACGTGTGCACGATGCATAACTAGGGGGACGAGCTTTAATCTATCCTAAAAAACGAGAATAAAGTTTCGCGTGTGTAACCGTACCTTCGATCCTGCGGTTTCCACGTCTCTTTTTTCGGATCGTTTCAGAAGAGGAACCTTGAGCAACACAGGCCGAACCGGGACCGTGATTTATTGTCCTTGGTTAGAGATAATAAGGCACGATCGGCTGGGAAGATTCTTTCGAAACGAAGGATCTTCGTGCGCGGTCGAACGGATCTATTTTTCTTTTTCGAACGATGAGGGAGGGGGGTGATCGCTTACACATTTCATAATACTTTCAAGAGGAGCAGCGAGAAGGGATGCTTGTCTCTGGGAACGTGTCACCAGACGGTAGCGAACTCGTTTCGACGATTACCGAATAGAAATCGAACAATTTGCCTCCCGACGGCATTGAGAGATCTCATTTCGACTGATTACGAAGCGTCACATTGTCGACCTGTACAATTACGCGCAGTAAATATTACGAGTAATGTTCGGAATAAGAGAAACAGGGTAATTCCGACTGTGGCCACTTTCCGAACCTTTCTGCACCGAGAGAAACATTCAAATATTTAAACACACGGACGAATCGTCTGTAGTCGCCGATCAGTTGCGTGACAGGAATAAATTATTATCACGGATAACCGTACACCGGGAGGAAACTTATAAATATAAGTAAATGAAATTGAACGAAATAGAAAGAACGCGCTTGTACGTGGCGCAAAAACTTCTACGAAAAACGTACCTGTACGTATATGTTTACTAGAATCACCAGATTTTTATCTATGTAACAAAGTGCAATTACATCTGTTACGTTTCATTAGATATACTGGTCGATACCATTTTAAAATAAAAAGCAAATGAACGATCAAACTGCTATTTTCTCGATGTTCCGTAACGCGTATTAATTTTGCCGTATTCGAATTTCCTTTATAGTCCACTTTAATTTTATTCGCGCAGTCCGGTACACTGCAGTTCCGTTTTCATTTATTATAACACATTTGCCCGGCAACTATTCAGCAATTATTCGTTTCCCTTAACTAACGCCGAATTTAAAAGCGTATCTTTAATCGACTACGATAAACCATTCGTAAGTTCGAGATCTCTTTCGAAGGTCTCTGGGATTCAACGATCAACGTCCGTACGACCGGAAGTACTACCATAACTGCCTTCCGCTCGATGTCCCCTTTCCCCGTCCGATCCCCACCAGAAGTCACGTCAGTAATTATTGAACCATTGATGAACTTAATGTTCGTCTTAGATAGTCGATATCGCGCGCAAGTAGATCGCGCGAAATTATGGTGGAATATTTATCCCGGCATGCTGAAAGTAGTTTTTTTTCTGGAACACGAACGACGACGACGGTTTGCTAAGCGAACAGGGAAAACGATGGAAAATCCAGTGTACTCACGTAATCCTCACGAAAAAGCTCCGCGTGCATTAGCGCAGTTTTCGCTTGAACCACAACTTGGTGCAGAAGCTGCGAGTCGGTTAATTGCACTACGTCCAAATCACCGTTGAAGTCTTCGGCGGCTAGGCCACAAGGGTTCACCCATTTCGGGGGCGAGCTCAGTCGTCTATTCTCGAGGGTCATCGTCGGAGCGCTCTGCACCGAGACCACGAGCAGAGTCACCAGGAGACTGCCTAACCCTGAAAATCAAAAGCACCGCTTAAATGATTATGCGTTGTTACGATATAATTCTCTTATGAACGAGACTCGCTGATAATTCGTAATAACACATATTAGCTTCTTGCCTTATACTTTTCCTCTTGATTAGGCTTACTAGGATAACTTTACAGTGGTTAACTCTTCAGAAGGAAAAGATATTATATATTCAACGTGTGTACGAATTTATCTGCCGTATAAATAGGGTATAGTATTTTTCTTCGAATAATGCAAATTATTTAATCTCGTTAAAAGAAACTAATTTGCAGTTAGAGGAAAGTATGAAGACAGTGTACGGTTGAATAAAGACTAGAGTGTTTAGTAAAACCTCGCATTCCATTTTAGAGAATGTAGCGTATGAAACGTAATGGAAAAGTTCATATAAATTCGTGTCTAACTTTATATTAGGGATACATTTGTGTTCCAACTATTATTCCATAGCTCTTAAATTTGATCCTTTTCACGTTACAAGTGATCACGTTACACTTGCATTCATTATCCCTCGGATGAGGAGTGGTCAGTAGGCAGATAATGAGATTTCATTGAACGCAATATTCAAGAAGGAACCTTACACGAAATTTCTTGGAAACCTTGAACTGCACGCGACGCGGTTACAAGTGACCACACTCATAACAATAAATAAATAAGTAAATACATAGAAGTGACAACAGCTGCCATACGGCCAAAATGACACCGCATTCGTCTCGGAAGGGTGAACACGTGTTACGTACGTACGGAGACATGAAACTAAAAAAATCGAAACGTCGAAGCGTCGAAAAGGCAATTCTGTGAATGTTTTGGGCATTCCTTGCGCGTACGATTGCGCTGGTCTTATTTGAAATCGATGGCTAACTGCCACGGTACATTATTAACAGAATTGTTCCTGTATTAAGAATATATGAACCAACTGACTGGCTGGTAGCAATCAACGATTTGACGTGAGACTCACGGCGAAGATACCCTCGAGAGAAATCATCCCAGAGCTTCCGGCTTGTTCTTTCTACCTTCCCCCATCTCGCCCCACCCTCGGGTACGCTCTTCGTCGATAGTAAGCGCCTAAATGGTAGATTTCGATCGAGACCGTCTTATGATCATCCGGCAGTTTCGGGATCACCGCTCGTCGAATTACATCCACGTGAATTCGTCGTCGCATTATTTCACGAGTTACGACCCTTGATGAGGGGCCTGGGATCACGTGCACCGCTACGACGACAAACCATCAGCAGTCGCGTACGCATTCGGAGGATGTATAACCACCGCAGTCTACCGCGCACCAAGTTTTCTCTTTCTCCATTTAAACGCTACCGTCTTTCTCATGTGATACTGTTCCCAAGTATGCTCGTTTTCAGCGAATACTTTATGTTTGATTTTCTACGCCGCGCTCGGACCAACACTCCTGTATTAAGATCTCGTGGGCCCGTCTAAACAGTGTTATTCCGCATCAATGTTTCTAACAGCACGCAACCGATAGAGCAATGTAATAACAAAACCGAGAAACCGCTATTAACCGCGATTATCGGTTAAGCTTCCACATAACTTTATACCGCTCAATCATATTTACTTTACAACCAACCGACCCGTCCGCGGTGTTCTTTGCACCCTCCGATAGCGCCGCGCTTCACCGAAAGGCGTTGTGCCGAAAACTGTCGTTATACTCGTCTGCAGATAACGAACCGAGTTGTTATAAGTAAAAGGAAGAGAGCCTAAAATGGTAATTTGATCAGTTTCTCGCGATACGGGAGGAACAGTATAAAACTAAATTTACTGACCGTGCACTCTTTTCGTATGGAAGCCGTTGATAACCAGGAAAACCTTCTTATAGCAATGATAGGATTAAATGTATCAAAACAAAATTGACTTCGTGACAAGGTTTGAAAAATGTTCCTTCTTGCACATGTTCTATTTAAAATCTTCTAGAAATGTATGTTCAAATCTTCTTTACTTCAAACATTATTTTTGGGTTTCACTATGCTTTACCAAGATCCATATATACGTGTTTCACAGTCAACGGGTTAAATCGCATAGACGGACCTTCGGATCGACTTGTAAAACAGTGTTACGAATGAATGGAATAGGTTGCATGCTCGATGTAACAACCGTGAAAGAGAATAAGCCAGAATGCGGGTATATATTGCGTAGACAACAAATATAATTTTAATGTGCAGTTACGCGTGATGCAACGCACAGGAGGAACGCGCGCGCGGTCCCTAGTCGCGGAGAGGACAAAATGAACGGACACAGA